CGATTCTCTTATGTACGAAAAAACCTGTACCTAATTCATGATTTTCATTCCCCTTTCCATAGAAAAATGTAGTCTCCTGCTGGTGCGATGCCGCCTCCATCCCATCTGACTTCTTCTACTCCCGCTAAATCTAACTTATATTATAAGAGTTCTTCTGCCACTGCCCTGAGCGAACCTGCCATATACAGACTCCGAACATTACAAGTGCAAAATCTCTTATCCATTTTCCTTAGCTTTGGTCGTTTATTCAAGGAATCCTTCCAGGTCCGAGGGTTTATGTTCATTTTAGTAAGAAAGTAATTTTTTTTGGTGAGGAGTTATTAGCCACACTCCCAACCCCCAAACTGGAGGGCCACCCCTTGTCGGCTGTCCGCGACTGCTTATTCAATATATTCACAGCTTCCCTCCATACCTTAAGGGCGTCTCCTCCATCCGCAACTTGAGGACGCGCCGTGCCGTGGTGACAAGGGGCCCACCTAACTTGGGAGTTTTGCTGACATATGTTCACAAATTCCGGTTTTGGTAGAAATCGTTTCTTTGGCTATCTAGAGCATACGTCGCTAAATACTTATAAAAGTGAAACACATTTTAGACAAACGCTGTGTACAGAAATGAAGCACAAGTTTCAAGTTCAGTACACCATGTCTATACGTTTCTCGGGTTTCAAGATAATTAAATAAGAGAAACTTAATCCTTACATTACGAACATTCAGCACTTAACAGTGCTCTCCCGAATACACCCGCTAGCGGAAGCGGACACACACCGCTAGTAGAAGCGCATGCACAATCTTATATATTTTGTTTTAAATAGATTAAAATTCAATATACATATACTTTTTGCTGTTATGTGCTCGACGTATATACAGACTCCAACTCCCGCATCATGTAACTGAATCTCGCCTTTGTGTAATACTCCTTGAAGCTCCCGAGGAAGCACAGTCCCACGCCGCATGTCTAGCACTGCCTTTCAATTTCATCGTGTTCCAAACAACGTTTCATTGCCCTTGTATTATAAAATTAAACTACAATATTCAAATTCACTGTGAACTCAGAGAAACCTGATGTCGTATCCCAGTAGCAAGACAGGTTGGCTAGGGCGAGCGGTTCCCTCGGGAGTCAATACGGGGTCGCTTCAAGTAACAGCAGAGGTAGAGCTAGGTGGTTTAATGTACAACTATTAAAACGCAACGCTTACAGGAAAATATACATTTAAGACAACAGTTTTACACACTGCCTAAACCTGGGCAGTCACCGACTTCCTCTATCAGACAATTAGTCCTCACGGATCGTAGACTGTCGTGATCGAAAAAGCGTCTTGTAACGCCAAATCGGGCGTATATATTCCTTCCTCCTTATTTATTTAATAACGTCATACATTACATCAGCTTAAACTTACATTGCATCAGCTTAGAACTTGCAGAACATTCTCTTGCTTACAGTATGTGCGTCCCTCCTGGACTTTGATTGAACTTGACAAAATTTATGAGGCCGGAGAGTGCACGAGTGTCATTGTCTTCTAGTTGAAAACAAGTACATTTTGGTATGATAATACGGGTGAGAAGTCGAGTTACAATCTTTTAATATTTCGTCATATTATAGTCTCTTCCTCACTTCATGAACTTAAATTAGTTATTTTAATTGTTCACCTTCCTTCATTTTTAAGCATCTCACTTGCAATAATCCCTATTAAGTCGGTTACTTTATACAACAGCTCACTACGTACTAGGTGTTCCCTATATAAATATAAATATACCCCAGTTTATACCAGGTATTGCCATATACAACTCTGGTATAATACATATACAACACTGTATGCACTTTGCATCTCAGCTGCAATACAAGCGTTTGGTTCCAGCCACAGAAAGGACAATATTTCCTTTCAGCTCCAAAGGCAGGGCTTGTCAATGAATTGGGAAAAAATAAATTTACCCTGTAGCCTTTCTAGAATGGTGTGGATTGGACAAATCTGGCTCAGGATAGGGACCAGTGGAGGGCTCTTGTGGAGACGGTGATGAACTTCCGGGTTCCATAAAATGCTGGAAAATTCTTGAGTAGCTGCAGAATTGGCGGCTCCTCAAGAAGGGCTTAGCTCCATGAGTAAGTAAGTAAGTAAGTAAGTAAGCCTTTCTAGAAAGTCCATGTTTTCACTTTTCTGTCTTTTAGTCAAAAGACTGGGATATCTGAAGAATGTAACAAAGACTTGCAACTTCCCACCGGAGAACGAAGTGACTTTATTGCTTCCAGCTGTTTTATGGCACCAGAGGAAGCGAAAACATTTTTTTAAGTGTTTCAACCAGGAGTGGTGCAGAACTACTATGTGAAGAAGTGGGAAACTATGTTTACAGTAGGCATCAAAATCACAAGAGAAATTGAAAGTAGTTTATTACTTCTTGTCTACATATTTTCAAATTTACGCTATAATATGCGACACTGTGTTCTTTGCTGATAAAAACAACATGATAAAAACAAAGTGAATTCCATTTATTTGTCATTTATTTTTGTAGCATAGTGCATATTGGATTAAAGTGAATTGATCGTGCTGCTCAATCAATTTATTTCTGTCATATAATCGTTATATGCTCAAAGACAAAGCGTGCAAGATACCCTAGAAGAGAAACTCGGTGCAATTGAAGGTGAAAACGGAAATGCCGAAGCGCAGTGGAAGAATAAAAAGAATGCATGTTAGATACTATCAGTGATTTGGTTGGTAAAGTTGAGAAGATAGCAAGAAAACCATGGGTTACACACGAGATGATGAGTAAAATGGAGCAGCGAAGGAAATGGAAGAATGTCAACAATGAAGAAGGCAGGAGGAAATACAGGAGACTGAGGAATGAATTGAAAAGAGCCACGGACAGGGCCAAAAAGGAATATCTTGAGAAGATATGTAATGAGATTATGGAATTTCAAAGAACAGGCCGTTATGATTTGATGTACATGAAGACAAAAGAACTAGGATGGAAAGAGAATCATGGGATTCAAAATGTTGGCATTGAAGACTCCCAGGGGAATAGAATAGTAGATCAGAGGCAAGTGCTGAAAATTTGGGAAAAGTATATTACAGAACTATATGATCGACCTAATTGGCCAGAAACCTTAGATGTTGAACCAGAAGAAGAAGTAGATACAGACGAGAAAGGACCATATATTTTACAAAGTGAGGTGGAAAAAGCTATCAAGGAAATGAGGAAGGGAAAGGCTACAGGAGATGATGATGTACCTGGAGATGTGCTCAAGTTACTGGGAGAAGGTGGTTTGAAAACACTGACAAAACTAATGAACACCATATATGAAAGTGGAGAGTGGCCCAAGGACTTTACAGAAGTTACAATGATTGCCTTAAAGAAAAAGACAAAAGCTACAAAATGCAGCGACCATCGCACAATAAGTCTTATTGCACATACAGCAAAGATAATAGCAAAGATACTTAAAAGAAGAATTGAAAGGAAAATAGAGGATGTACTTGGAGAAGATCAGTTTGGATTTAGAAGAGGAAAAGGAACCAGGGATGCAATTGGGATGATGAGAATTATAGCGGAACGAACTTTGGAGATAGATGAAGAACTGTGTGTTTGCTTCATAGACTGGCAGAAGGCATTTGACCGGGTAAACTGGACCAAATTAATGCAGATCCTGAAAGAAACAGGTATCGATTGGCATGAAAGAAGATTGATTAGCAAATTGTACATGGATCAGAAAGTTAGAGTACGACTGGACAGGGGGGAGACAGGAAGTGTGCAGATTGGAAGAGGAGTTCGACAAGGATGCTGTTTATCACCAATTCTGTTCAACTTGTACAGCGAATGCCTTACCAAGGAAGCTCTGGATGGGCTCGGTGACTTCAAAGTAGGAGGGCAAATTATTCAAACTGTGAAATATGCAGATGACCTTGTGTTAATGGCTAAGGAAGAAACTGTGCTACAGGGCATGATTGATAGACTAATTGAAATTGGAAGGTGCTATGGCATGGAAATGAATGTGGAGAAAACAAAAGTAATGAAAATTTCGAGACAACCAACCCCAGTCACAATAAAGATAGACCAAAAACAAGTGGAGAATGTGAAATGTTTTAAATATTTGGGTAGCTTGTTAACAGATGATGGAAGGTGTACTTGTGAAATTAAATCCAGGATTGCCATGGCAAAAGCTGCATTTAGCAAGAAGAAGAATCTTTTTACCAGCAAATTGGACTTAAATTTGAGGAAGAAACTAGTGAAATGCTACATTTGGAGCATAGCTCTCTATGGGGCTGAAACATGGACACTTAGGGCAGTATACCAGAAACATCTGGAAAGTTTTGAAATGTGGTGTTGGAGAATGATGGAGAAGATCAGTTGGACCGATTATGTAGGAAATGAAGAAGTGTTAATTAGAGTCAGTGAGCAGAAGAATATCCTACACGAAATAAGAAAACGGAAGGCTAATTGGATCAGTCATATTTTACGCAGAAACTGCCTTCTAAAAGAAGTTATTGAAGGAAAGATAGAGGGGCGGATAGAAGTGACAAGAAGAGGAGGAAGAAGACGTAAGAATATGCTGGATGACCTTGGGGCCAGAAGAGGATACTGTCATTTAAAGAGAAAGCTCTAGATCGCATTAAATAGAGGAATTGTTTTGGAAGAGACTGTGGACCTGTCGTCTTGACAAAATACTAATGATGATGATAATCGTTAATTCTGCAAGACCAATAACACCCATCCGCAAAATCGTATACCTGCGGCCACAGGCCAAACTCTCATTCGGCCGTTGTCCTCTAGTAATGTATGACGCGTTACAATCGGCATTAGCAATGCCATCTGCTATTCCCCTTTCTGTTTAGCTCTGACTCAGTGGACTGGCATGTGGCGCGCCCAGTGGCCTTCCGGCGAACTCCTAGCAAGTGTCACAAGGCTCGTACACCAAATGTCTTCTCACCGTTTCCCATCAGCTTCGTATGTTCTCTCTTAATGTAGTACTCTTATCACTACTTCAAACACATATTCAAGTAACTGGTAACCTACCTATTGACCCAAGACGATAGTTGATTGTCACTAGGATAATATCTCTGTCCAGGAGATACTGCGGTCCATACAAGTCCGTGTTTCCGGATCCTGTAAACCAACCTCCACCATGGATCCAAACCATAACATCAAGTGGCGCTGCCTCCGCATCGCTCTTCGGGATCTAGCAAAATTAAATTACCCTCATTAATCCTACTTGTAGGCTTCGAAGACTACTAAAATTTTACTGGCGATGAAGTGAGAAATTTAGTCTGAAAATGGGGTCGCGGCTGAGCCACAGCAACTAAATAAACTTCCGTGAAGATGTGACGTTGTGTATTCTGGTAGAAATTTCCCTACATTTCAGAAAAGATGGAAGTGGCAATTTCCTCCGAAACCGTCAATGAGAATGAACACTACTTATTTACCACTTTCATGTAATATTCAGCAGCAATTCACCAGTCACTGCGGTGAAAGGAAACAAAATGGTTAGATGATTAGCAACAGTGTAAGAATTACAATAGTGGGCTCTACCACGGAATTTTCCGGAGAGAAGCACACAAATATTTGTATGCAGCCTTACACTTAAGCCACCTAAGGCCATTGGTAGTAATGTTTTTAAGAAGTTTGCATTCTTATTATTAAGATTTGGAACATAAGGCAGACTGTAGTGGAGTTGATTGAGGCACTATGCTACAAACCGGAAGGTCGCGGTTTCGATTCCTGATGTCATTTGAGTTTTTCTTAATAAAATCCTTTCATATTCATAGGGTCGACGCAGCCTCTAACAGAAATGAGTACCAGGAATCTTCCTGGGGATAAGGCGTGGCCGACGTGTAAGGCTAGTACATGTGGGAAGCCCGATGTCTCACAACCCTATGGACCTCGGCGACCTGTTACAGGGATAGCTTCAGCTTTTAATATTTTCAATATATCCTCTTTTTTCTACAATTATAATTCTCTTCTAAAAGTCCAGGAGTGATAAATAACAAATTTCCTCGTCTGTCGGCGTTCTTTATTAATTTATTCTTTCTAAGATTATTTCTTATCAGTATCTTTCTATCAGACTGGACGTCACATGTTAGAAGACTGTAATCTCTGCATTCCCCTTTGAGTAAACCTAAGATATCACATAAATTTCTCACTATGAGGATAAAGTACATGCCAGTCCGTCATTTTGCGCACTTGATATAAGAATATGAGTGTGGCATGTGTAGGGAGAAGTGATAAACTAATAAAATGTGAAACGCCTACAAATGTTAGTATGTGTATCAAAATTCTCATGAGAACATTTCTGGACTGAACCAGTATATCCGTTATTGACACAGCCTGAGCACCGCTCCACTGGAAGAGTTACTGTGGCTCTTCTTATGATTTTATGGAATATATTTCACTCGCAATTTATAATCTGTGTTCAGGTAAAATACGAAATCAGAGAAACTTCCTTCATGTATTTTAAGTCGTCTATTGTCGGGGTATAAGACCGCCTCTGTGGTCTAGTAGTCAGGTTTCCTGACAACAGATCCAGAGATCAGGGTTAGATTTCGGGAGCTACCTGATTTTTCCTAAGAAGTAGTGGGTATGGAACGGGGTCCACTCAGATTCGTGAGGATAATTGAGGAGCTCTTTCAAGGAAATGGCGGCTCCGGTCTGGAAAATCGAATTCAACGGCCGTGGGGATTCTTTACGTTGAACACGCGACACCCTCTATCCGCTGAAGATGGCACAAACCTCTCCGACAAGCGGCTATCGCTCGGTCGGTATAGTTCGCTTGTGGACTAAAACAACGGAGTTTGTTTTTATTGTCTGGGTATAAAATGGATATATCACACTCATTGCTAAGCAGATGTCACATTTTGCTTTTTGCTAACCCATACTTACAGCAAAATAATACGTTCTAAGAGCCACAATCTAATTACTTCTATTTGACATAAGAAAAAATTGACTGGTCAGTGGAAGGAATCTATTATTGTACCAATTCACAAGAAGGGTGATAAACCTGACTGTAGTAATTATCGGGGGATATCACTGCTATGAACTCCAAACAAAATTTTACCCAATATCCTTCTCTCAAGGTTGAGCCCATATATAGATTAAATTATTGGGGATCATCAGTGTGGTTTTTGATGTAACAGATCAACTACTGATCAGATCTTTTACATTCATCAGATCTTGGAGGAAGAATTGTAGTACAATGAGACATTACATCGGCTATTCATAGACCTCAAGAAAGACTATGATTCATTTAGGAGGGAAGTATTGTACAATATTCTGATAAAGTTTGGAATACCCATGAAACTACGTAGTTAGGTTGATTAAAATGTGTTTAAACGAAACGTATAGTAAAGTCCGCGTAGGTAAATATTTGTCTGTCGTTATACTCTGTCTAAAGCATCTTTCTTGAAGTGCCATCATCCGATGTAGGTCATAACGTAATCATTTTATGATTAATCGATCGTATTTTCGAAAGGTAGGACGTAACCTCAAAGTTTTTTAGACAAAATATTATGTGAATATAACTTTTATCTCTTTTGAATGCATGGGTTTTGTGAAATTGTTCTTTAGTTTCGATTTCAAAACAATTGCACCCTACAAATAAAAAGAACTGGATTGAAATATTAACAATGAAAGATGGAAACAACCATAAGCTATGGAAGAGGAACATTAAAGACACCACTCAAGACATGCAATAACTTAATTAAAAACACCTCCTGAAAGGATATACAAAACATGACGACATCAAGACAGAAATTGAGAAATCTGAAAAATATTAAGAAGAAAATAACAGAACACTATGTGGTAATAATGCAAGCAGAAAAAGGGGAAATGGTAGTCATAATACACCAACAAGCTTTCCTATAAATTTATACAAGCAAACCAGTTTACTACAATAGACAAAACCCAACCAGTTAACACCAGAACAATGCAAAACAAACCATAAAACAATATCCTAACACACATCCTCAAAAACAACAATGGAGATCCTATAACACGACCCCAGAAATATTCATATACAAGGGTTAGATAAAAAGTAGTGGCAACGTATCTATAGTTCTGAAATGACTTTATTGCCTGAGGTAAATACACTTATATTCCTTCAATATAATCGCCCCCCCCCATGTGTACCACCTTCTGCCAAATTTGTGGAAGGTGTCATACACCATCAACGCGTCCACTTCTGTTGATGTCGAGCAGTGAGTGCCCTACAGGACGAATAATCTCCTCTCTTGTGTTGTAACGTGTCCCTGGGGGTGGTTCTTTCATTTTGGCAAATAAATCATAATCGCACGGACTCATATCGGGCGAGTATGGCGGATGTTGAAGTATCTCCCATCGCCAGCGACGAAGGAGATCCTTGACAGCGTCTGCAGTATGAGCCCTTGCATTGTCATGAAGAATGATGGGGTTCGTTGCCAACAAGTGTCGTCGCTTTCTCCTGAGTCCTGGATGAGGATGCTTATGCAGGAACTTGCAGTAGTAGGCAGCATTTAGTGTCTGTCGTTGAGGTACAGCGTGGTGCAGTATCACTCCATCAATGTCATATGCCACAGTGAACATCGCCTTCACATTACTCTGTGTAGGTCACACTTTCTTTGGACGAGAAGAGCCAGGATGATTTCATTCATTTGATTGATGCTTCAAGTGCGGTTCGTATGAGCGAGCCCAAGTTTCGTCCAGAGTGACGATTCTTCCAGAGAAGTCGTCACCTTCCCTCTGGTACCAGTCCAACAAGTCCTGTGCAATTCCGTAACGTTGCCATTGTTGCACCTCGGACATTGTATGGAGTACTGAAAGCGCTGCAATTCTGCGGTATTCAAGAATATCGTGCAGAATGCGGAGCACGGTTTTGTGACGTACGCCTACCTCAGCAGCTAACTCCCTCGCAGCCCATTGACGATCGATATCCAGCAAAAAGCAAGAAGCTGAATTGTGTGGTTGTCAACATGGGGTCGTCCTGAATGGCATCCCTCCCTTCACGGAACAATTTCACCCATCGCGCCACTGTGCGATATGGCAAAGCAGCATCACCACATGCACTGAGGCAATGATGCGTTCAAGTATTACAAACAACAAGGAGTAATAGCAATGGGAGCCTCACCGTCGCAATTCACTCCGAAATGTTTTAACAACTTTTAGACCACCGTGTTTATGCCACATTATTTTTAAACAGAAGAAATATGTTACACAAGGTATGTAGATAATATACTTAAAATATACAACGAAAACCTGATGTAAACTACATAAAACAAAAAATGTAGAGATATTTTAATACAAAGACCAGAAAGCAACATATTAAAGAACACACTCCATAAACCAACAGCAACAAACGCAATGCTAACCCCAATAGGTCCAGTGATTGAGATTCGCTCTTTCTAAGGGGCCCAACTGAATAAGTGTCTTCCTTTCTCACTTGAAGAAGGAAACAGATTCAGTTTCCGAAAAGTCGTGTCCTCTATTACCTAGATTTCCGGACGATGGAAATAGTTCAAAGACTGTAAGTCATCCACCATCTTCAGAACCCTTTAGTATCAGTATTCTCGTCTATTTCTAACGCATAATAAGGGTTCTTTTTAACTATTTCGACTAACTGAGATGTTACGTCTCCTGCCATATCGTTAATTCTGCGATCGACAGTGTCGTTTGAAAGAGGAATCAAACCAACATCTTTAGTAACTTGTTGCCACACATAGTTCTTATCACACCTTTTAAGCTGGAAGAAGTACATTTTCCCCGATAGAATCAGATTTCCATGTTTTGGTTATGCGCAAACTTAAGAGGTAGAATGCTTCCAGTGCCATGTTATTAATCGAACCCATGACCGAAACTATATTTTGTCCATGATTTAATGTCCCTAATCGTCGCTGAAAAAATCCACTTGGCTTATTTTCGCATCACAATGTTTAGTTTCTCAATGTCGTCGGAGTTTTGCCAGTTTCATGCACTCGTCTGACAACACTTTATGACACAAAACACATAGAGGTTTCTGTTCACTTTAACCATAAAACCAAATAAAGCCGAAATCCAAATATGAACTGTCATATTTCCTGCTGTATTTTTTTCTTTGAACTGTTTGTTTCTTCGACTTTAGTAGTATCACATTTACTTGCCGTTACAGCACGTATATCACAATTATGGTTAGCATAACCTGTTTCGTTTGCTTTTCTTTTCAAATTCCCTGTTCTA